CCGTCATGAGCCGCGCGGGGTCGACGCCACGGCCGACGCTCCACTCTGCGGCGAGGATGAGTAGAGAAGCGTTATCATTATTATCATTATTATCGTTAACAATATTATTACCAAATCTTTTATTGTTCCATACTTATTTTCACCATCATATTGATGATAATATTAATAATGATCTTGTGTAGAGATTCCGAATAATCATATCAATAATAAATAATGATAAATAAAAAATAAAATTGACTTGATAAGCAGGAGTAAGGAAAGAGGAAGGTAAGTCGGTGACATACAGAGTAGACGGATACGAGGTAAGAAGAGATGAAGAGAGAACGTAACGTGAGGCTTGTGCGTTGAGTAGTGCGTAGTGTGGTGTGCTTGCTCGGTCGTCGCAATGTGTTTGCTGTGTCGACGTGAGATTTTGGTGGACGTCTGAGTGTGTGTGTGTGTTGTGGTGTGTGCTCGGTAGAAACGACGTATCGCAGAGTGTGTGATGGATTGCTGGTGGGAGGATGGGGAGAGGATGTGGGGGCGGGGTACGGCAAGCTGAATTGCGCGGTCGGGTGAGGGTGTTACTCTTCGTCGTGGCCGGTGCGGATGATGAGTGCACGTCGCGAGTGCTTTGCGTGCGGTGGTAGGTGGCTGTGGATAAGGGGGAAAGGCGTGCAGGGATTGGGAGGCATGAGGGCGGGAGGAGTTGTTTTCGGGATTGTTCGCGTGTAGATGGGGGCGGTTTACAGTACACACAGCAACCGTGCAAAGCGCGATGTTACAGCGGGAAGGGTGGTTGGGGGCGAGGAGGTTGGGATCGGCCGATGTGTCTGGTCTGTGTGAGTGGGTGGACGTGCGTCTTGGGTGTGTGTGGCAGGTAGGGCGATGCCGAGTCCTGGCATACCGAAACGAACACTTTAGTGAGTTCTTCCAAGCGACTTCATAAAACCTGAACTGACGTCATCAGCGGGGGTGGAGCGTGAGCGTGGAGCGGACTAGCGGGTTGCGAGATGGTGAGGAGGTTGGAGTCGGGGTTGTATGGTTGTAAGGTGGTGAGTGTGCTGAGTTGTTGTGGATTGGGCGCTGCACGTGGTTGCTGGAGGTGGTGAGTATCGTGCGGGTAGTGTGAAGTGCGTTGTAAGGAGTGATGTCCGGTAGGTACGTAGAATGTTGGAGAGATTATGGGGTCAGGGCTGTGGGAGGGTGGTTTGCGAGAAGCGGGCGTAGGAAACGTCTTGAGAGGGGCTCGGAGGCATGGGGTGCGTATGAGGCGGGTGGTTAGGTGAAGCTGGTGATGGTGTTGGTGGGTAGTCGTCTTGTAGTATGCGTGGGAGGTAGAGGGAGGTTGGGGGTTGTGCTTGTGGTGGAGCACGATGTTTCTGCGTTATGGTGGTACTGTGTAGGTCGGGCGCTGGCGGGCTGATGTGCGCTGGTCTGCATGGTGGAGAGAGGGTGGAGCGGTTGGGGGGTGGAGCGTAGGTGCGTGTTGTGATGGATGAGGGGTGGCAGGGTGGTGCGGTGTGTGTTGTGTGTTGTTGCTTAGTGGGATGCGTGGGTGCGGAGGATGGGCGCTCGGTGGTTAGAGGAAGGGAAGGAGGTTCGCGGGTGAGTTAAGGAATAGTAGGAATGTATCCGTTGCCCGGCAAAACGTAATGATGATGTGCAGACATGAGTGGAGAACGATGGGGAGGTGGGGGGAGATGGATGCGTGAGAGAAGGACGCTCGGAAGTACTCGGTAATTGAGTGCGCCCGTTGGGTCAGTTGTTATAGTGCGCGTGGTGTCTGGGTAGCGAAACATTTGTAATGAAGCCTTGTAGAGTTGTAAGCGCATTTTTAAGTATCCTCATTACAATATATTTTATCAAGACAGTTTCTTTCTTTCGATAACGGTTTTTAATCTAAAGCTGGTTGGGCAACGGTACAGTAATGGGCTTATTGTGCATATTACTTCCATGCCACTAAGATAGAAAGATTTTCACGCAATGAAAAAATACGTCGGAAAATGCTATAAGAATAAAGCACATAGGATGAAAAAGGGATGCAAGCGCCTTCCTCAAGCCATCACACATGCGCGTCCGAAGGAGACGTCGAAAGGGCCCTCCCCGTGACGCGCCCATGTCTCCTAAACCAGAGTGCTCTAATCGCCTCGCGGCACAGGTCAGGTTCGTATGATGGCGCGCGGGTCATCGACGGTTGTACTGTGCTTTGGGATGATGGGTGATGGGGCCGTAGATAGTGTAGTTGTCCTGAGATGCGTGGATTGGTTGGTCCGTGATGGCGTGGGCGGGGGCGCGGTGGTGAGCTATTGTGTCGGGGGAAGTGGTAAGGTTATGGTCGAATGGCGTGGGGAGAGGTGGAGGGTGGTGGTGTGATCGTTGTGATTGCGAGCTAAGCTGTTAGGTATGTCGCGGCAGTGAAAGGGAGAGACGGTAGTGTCATTCTGGTGCGTTAGGCGATAGTGGACGATATAGATAATGATGCGATTACGATCCTAGTGATTGGTCGAGTAGGTGTCTCGGGATGTCAGTAGAGGCGAGAGAGAAGAACTGGATGAGTTTTTTCAGATGTCAGCGGTGAGTGTGCACCTACCTAAGCTGCAAGAGATGGATGACGGGGACTAGTGATGTGTGGTTAGGTTGGGTCGTTGTAGAGTCATGGTGGGATATGGTGATAGTAGAGGGAGTGAGGAGGAGAAGGTGTGTCAGGTGAAGCTCGGTGGGGCGACGCGGTTTCAGTGCCGGTGTGGCTGTCTGTGAGAGGGTGGAAGCTGCAGGGTAGCTGAGTCGATACGATGCGTGTGGGTGAATGCTGCGATGCGGTGAAGCTTATTGGTTGTTGGTCACAGATATCATTTCGTGTGCTGTCAAGATGGTAGATAATAGAATCAGAATTAGTTAACATGAATAAACATCCTCGACTGGATCAGCATATAAAGCCGAAACGAGTTTGTTTGGCGATACAGCACTTCTTCAGATGTTAAGGCAGAGAACAGCTAAATCCCTTCAGAAGCTCCCTTTACCTGCATGAGACTTCCGGAACACGGGAAGACATTAGGCCAAGTGGGCGTGGCCTTGTCGAGCCATCGCAGAAGGTGGGCGGCGTCCGGGGCATCGAGGGGGCAGGGCGGCAGCGGAAACAGGCTCGGGCAAGCGGCAGCCAACCGAGCGAGTACCCTGCTCCTCTGATGTGGGTCAGAGGGTCGTGCAAACGGGGTTAGACAAAGCGAACAATAAAAAAATGAGGTGTGTATATATAGATAAAAGGTCATAGAGAAAGCTCAACTGTGTCACACACACACACACATATATATATCTACACACACACACACACACACACATCTATCTATCTATATATAATATATATATATATATATAAATATATATATATAATATAATAATAAAAATAAATAATAAATATATATATATATATATATATATATATATATAATATATATATATATATATATATATATATATATATATATATATATATATATATATACACACACACACCTAAACGTACACATAGAAAGGATATAGATGTAGGCATACCTTAGGGTCACACTGTGTAGGAATCCACTCTGGAATGCTCTCTTCTTCCTCTTCATCTTCCATCATCATTTCCTCTTGCTCCTCCTTCTGCGCAGGAGAACCAGGTTCTCTTTCCTCCTCTTTGTCCGTCCCCTCTCCTCCTTCTCCTCCTCCTCCCCTTCCTCCTTCCCCTCCGCGTCCGCCGCGGACATCGGACGCCTCCCCGAACTCTTTGCGACGCCTTCCCAGACACGACTGGCGGGTTCTGCGCCCACGAGGAACGCCCGCACATAATCCTCGTCCGGATGGTCCAGGTTGGCACGGGCGAGGGCGAAGCAGGCGGCAACGATGGCTCTGTGGCTAAGCTGAAGCCGAATGTCCAAGAGTTCGAAGACGGATTCTGTCACGGCTTGAAGCATGCTCTGGCTGTCGCTCTCGAGGAGGGCGCCGCCGGCGTCTGGGAGCGGTGAAGTATGTGAATTAAGCGAAAGGAGTTAATAATTCTGAACTGCAAAGTGCGGATTGAGTTTAGTGATATAAAGATATGTTCAACAATATGCTCCTCAACGTTAATTATCTTTTGATAAACTAACAACAACGCTATAAAATATCAGTAATACGCTGTCCCGTCACCTTTTTCTGCGCTCCTAGCCCGAACAGTTTCTCCCAATGCGTCCATCTTGTAGGCAAGGTTCTCGTGCAGGAGATGCAGCGGTATATTATAACTCACGTCCAGGGTGGCGAGGGCTTCGGCCACTCGGTGCAGGAGGCCGGCGAAAACGCCCATTTGCAGGTAGCTCTCAGACACCCGCGTCGTCACCTTTGCCAACTGCTCCTCCTGCTCGCCTGCCGTGTCGATCGCCTGTGCAGTGCGTGAACCGATTACGTCTAGTACAGATCGCAAGAGAAGCGCAGGTTTATATAAATCAACATAAAATAACGTGGCGAGTTTTCAGTGAACGGCATGAACGCCCCTCCACGGCGACTCACATTATTGAGTGCGTCCACGTGATCCATGAAGGCGTCGAGGTCGTCCGCGGACGTGGCCTTCGAGGCGTGGATGAGCGCCCTGACGAGCGCCCCTTCGGCGGCCTCCTTGCCCTGCCGCGCTGCCGTCGTCACCTGCACGGTCTTCACCATTTCCTCCTCCAGCTGCGGGTTGTGCCATCTAACAGCTGTTTGGACCAGCTGATGCACAATACCCTGTCGTTGATGTTGGCGGTTAGCAAGTACCAATTAACTAAGAAATTGTAAAGCATAACAACAAAATTATAACATTTCATAACAGATATCATGTTTGTTTATTCCATCAACGCAAACCATTAAAGATCAACTCTTTTGCTCCGCCCACCTGGTCGTCGAGAGCAAGGTCGATGGCGGGAAGATCGGTGCAGAGCGGACACGGCGCCTCTGAACACGTGTCGCCAGCACCACCCCGCCGCAGGCTTCCGTCGCCGTCTGAGGGAAACGACCGTGACAGTTTTATATTTTATTCATCATTCCTGACGGTTTTGTCTTAACTCATAACATTATCGATTGGACTTTTAATCTGCATTAGCAAACATTTTATCCTGACTTATTCTTGTAGCTTTGTAGATTTAATTCTTGATTTATCTTGTTCTTCCTCTGCCCATAGTGGTTCTTTCTTTTCTCTTCCCATGACACTCACCCTGTAGCAGTTTCTGTGTACAGGCCACCACCTCCAAAGTCGCAGCATGTTGCAGTCGTAAATAGAGCGGCGTGCGTGGAGTGACTGCCAGCCTCTCCACCAGCGCCTCCCTCCACGACCCCGACTCCACATTCACCCAAACTCCACCTCTGACGTACTCCTCCACCTGTGCCAAGCAGGGAGTGGTATTTCATTTTCTGGTTTTAGTATTTGAGACTTTTGCTACTTAACAGAAGGGTTGAGTTATTAGTAGTTATCTTTGAAAGTGTATTCTCTCTCTCTCTCTCTCTCTTTCAGATACATATCCATTACTTATACTACCAAATGATGAGGATCCCGCAGGAGCAGAAGAGGGGCACGATTGGCGTGATGCTGGAGGGCCTCGTCGACGTCCTGCTGAAGCTCCCCAGCACGCAAGACCAACCTGCGGGAGGCATTCGCTTTCATCCGGTCCAAAGATTTCACAAGCAAGCCTCCATCCCAATTTGAAATATTCGTTACATAACACAAATTACAAAGTTCACAAAGACGTCCACGTACCGAAGGCCCCGCTGCGGCTGCGGCTGCTGCGGCGCAAGAAGGCCCCTGCTCACCAGGTCGGCCTCCCACACGCCGGCGAGGGCGGAGCGCGGGCCAGGGGGGAGAGCAGACAAGTACGTCAGCCTCGATGCCTCCAAAAGACACTTCCCGGTCAGCTGCGTCAGCATGTCCTCCTGCTCCTTGATCTTCCTTCTCCAACTTAGGCATCAAAAAGTATTTTAAATGATATGCTTATGCTAAATTAACGAAGGCATGTCATCAATGCGAAATTAGTCCATGAATTCATATCAACGACTGAAATATCAGGAAGTGACCCGCATTTCAGGGGTGCCTCACCTCTCCGCGTGCGGTTGCAGCTCCGTGATGACCGCTAACACGTTGGCCAGCTCCTCCTCGACGTCGATCTTCTGCCTTTTGAGGGTAACTACCCGGCCCTCTTCGTCCTTCAGTCGCGCCGTCAGCTTGGCAACCTCCTCCCGGGCGCCTCGAATCAGCCTCTCCTTCGTCGCCATTTCCACTTGCAGCTGCGGGGAGACAGGTAGGCAGGTGGGGATCGGAAGACTTTACTAAGAGACAAAGCTTCTTAGGAAATATGGAAAAGATGTGAGCCCATTTCATCAGTATTCACGCAGAGGATAATAAAGATACTTGCAGTTATTATAAGAACTGACCGTTTATCTTTTATTTAGGCCAGGGAGGGGCAGCAAGGCGAGGGGATGGAGGTCGGGAAAAGACAAAAAGCTACACTACTAACAAGAAAAAAATATATCCAGAGAAAACTTTAGTCATGCTGGGACTGCTTTGCTATACTGACATAAACTTTGCAGAAAATACATTTAACAAAGATAGAATGTTGGACACAATTTCTTACCTGCGTGCACTGATCCTTCAGCTCCTGAACGCGCTCCTGTCGCGGTTGCACGTCCTCGTGATACCTGTGCCAGAAAAAGATGGCGGTACGCAGATACTGCAGGAGGATGCCGCCGATGTCACTCACGCGAGACAGGTGCTCCGGCGTCATCTTGATTTGCTACAAGAAGAATTACCTGTTGTTATCGCTTTTAATTCAAAATTAAAACAAAGTATAAGTATCAGCGATGAGAATGTTGTTACAGCGATAATGTCTTGGCGAGATATGAAAAAAGAAAACACTCGCTATCACCTCGAGCTTCTCCGTGAGGCTAACGATCTGCGCTTGCTTGAGGCTGGGGACGCAGATGGCAGCAATCTTGGTGCAGAAGGTGTCGTCCTGAGTGGCGTGGCGCACCGCCCTCCACGTCACGTCCTGGTTACTCATCAGCGACACGGCGCACTCGAACACCACCTGGATGGCCGAGATGGGCGAGCGGGAGCTGTGAAGGGCGAGGGGAGGGCGCGAAGTTAGGCCAGCGGCGTCACCAAAGCACACGAACCTTCGGCGTTTCACTCTTTTTGGCTTCAGAGATGGACGGGAAGGTTTGTGTGGGTTTATGCATTCACTTATATATGGTAGTAAGACATCGTTTCTCTATAGGAGGTGAGGTTGTGTTTTTAGGATGAGGGAGAACGAAGGACTGGCGTTTTCTCGTCGGCTGTCTGATGTGATGACGATTTCCGTTTTACGTTTTCGCGGACATGGTAGAATCTTAGCTTGTGATGAGAGTCACAAGAGGTGCTTATGTACAGGAGCAGGGTTCAGGAACTTCTGAATTTCAGAAAAGAAGGGAAAATATAATTCTGAGTTTAACGCAAAAGCGATTGGTCTTTAGCTATCAGTTAAGGATAAGAAGGATATTGAA